CATACATCATTTCATTCACCCAGAGATAAACTCATCACAGTGGACTCATATTTTGCTTGTATTTTTTCCCCGAATAATTATATCAAATCATATGTACTATTCAATGACTTGACCAAAATATTTCTCGTCATACACTAATATACAACAAAGTTGTAAGGGTCTTCTCATATTCAGGCAAAAATGAAATGATGAATTCCACTGCTGGTAGAAAGTGATACGATATGTGTGTGCAATGGGGGAAACCAAGCAGTTTGCTAATGAACCCTTTCTGGGAGCTGACAGTTGGATCTTGAAGGATGTCAATATTTACCAGGCACAGAAGAGCAGAAAGCATTTCCCAGATAGAAGAAACAGCTAGAAAAACTACTAGAAACCTTGATAGACCATGTCCTGTTGGGAACAGGGGAAGAGTCCAGTTTGCCTGGTGGGTGTGGTGTATGAGTGGGTGGGTGGGGGTTCAACAGGAGATGAGCAGAGGGCATGAGTCTCTGTTATGAAAAGCTTTGTTTGCCAGGCCCTGGAGTATGGAATGTGTTCTGTTGACAGTGGGGAACCAGGGACTTTACAAAATCAATTACTTCCTTACATTAAAGCAAAGAATACTGAGTGAGCCAGCCAAAACCCAGCTTTCCTCTTTCCTGAAGGGTGGATTTTTTTTTAAATCCAGGTGCTTAAAAGCATCTTCCTAGACAGCCAAATACAGTCCCTATGAACCTTTCTCAGAAAATTCTCATCACCTCTGCAGAAGCTTTTCAAGCACCTTTTGGAGTTCTTTAGCAGTCTGCCTTAGTGCACGATGCATTTAGACCACTCCTATAATGGCAAATTCATTCTTTTTTTTAAAGATTATTTATTATTTTTTAATTAATTAATTAATTTTTTTAAAAAGATTTTATTTATTTATTTGAGAGAGAGAATGAGATAGAGAGAGCATGAGAGTGGGGAGGGTCAGAGGGAGAAGCAGACTCCCCGCTGAGCAGGGAGCCCGATGTGGGACTCGATCCCAGGACTCCAGGATCATGACCTGAGCCGAAGGCAGTCGCTTAACCAACTGAGCCACCCAGGCGCCCAAGATTATTTATTTATTTGACAGAGAGAGAGAGAAAGTACAAGCAGGAGGAGTGGCAGGCAGAGGGAGAGGGAGAAGCAGACTCCCTATGGAGCAGGGAGCCCGATCCGGGACTCTGTCCCAGGACCCTGGGATCATGACCTGAGCCAAAGGCAGTTGCTTAACCAACTGAGCCACCCAGGCGCCCTAGCAAATTCATTCTTAAAGAACAACCTGGGTAGATGTTGTTCAGGCCCCTCTTCGCGATAGGAAGGAATGTGTTTGGTTCTGCTAGGTGCCTTTGGGAGAGCTTTGATGATGATGAACGCTTTGGAAGCCAATATTGGCCAGTTTTTTGGTTTGGCCAGTTATTTCTTAACCAGTTCATTTGCACCACCCAGTGGGAAAGTGCTAGAATACAGCTTTGAAGGGTGGCTCTGAGTTGTTCTTCCTCAGGGAAGGATCTGGGAATTCCTGGTCTGCTATTTCAACCATTCTTTCCCTCTAAGAATGTTAGGAGACATCCCCGTAAACAGTTTTTCTCTTTCATTTGGAGGCGAGAAAGCATTTGGAGTGAGGAAAGCACCAGTCCTGGCTTTTCACAGACTAACTCAGTGGCTTTAGATAAGTACCATGTCCTCTATCAAAGTGTTCCCTTGTGTGTGTGTGTGTGTGTGTGTGTGTGTGTTTAACTCTTCCATATTTCTAGTGGCATAACTGTTTTAGTATTTACCCAGTGCACCTGTAATTCCAAGTCCCATCTGTCTGACTAATGAGAAAATACCTTCGACATTTTGAAAATCCAGGAATGACTGCAACCATTTATCATTATAAATATATGTCAATATATATAATATATGTCAATTAATATCAGTATCATCGGAGTGTATCTTCCTAAGAATGTCTCAGGGGCTTTTAAACCACAAATCACATGGTGTAAGTGGAAAGAGCTGACCTTTGCCTTCAGTTAGACCTGAGTTTAAGTCCCACCCCTGCCACTCACTGTGTGACTTTTAGAAGACACTGTCTGTCTCTGAGCCTGTTTCAGTGAGCACAACCAGTCTCATTTCACAGGGTTAGTGTAAGAGTTACGGGGTGTAATATCTGCAGAGCTTCGAGGGACCCTGGGACTAAGGGAGAGCTGCGCTTTGTTGGGTGGAAGTAACTATTACTGGTCGGGCTCTGCAGCTTCCCTGTTCTCCTCGAGCAAATCCCTTCTGCTCTGAAGCCTGGATTCCTCTGCTGTCAAATGGGGCCACAGTTCCTTCTCTTAGAGTTTTACAGATGCGATGATGTAACACCTCCGCCAAGCACCGCACCTCATAGGTGCTTCACAAATGCTAGTTCCTTTCTTTCCAAAAGTATTAACCCATTGCGAATAGTGACGGAATTAGTTATAAGGCCAAATTGTGTTCAGTCTGTGATCTCCCCACCGCCAACTGTCTCTCTTACTAACTCAAATACACACATGTGCACATTTGCTTTCCCACCTTACTTTCCCCATCTTTGTCATCAGAGGTTAACCAAAAGCACAAGAACTTTTGGAAGCTTATCAAAGGGACAGCAAATTCATTTTAAGATTGTCCTCATGTCTTTCCAGTCCTCACACCAGTTGCATGGGTCCATATTTGGGCAGTTGTGCATTTACCTGTCTCCCTACCCCCACGCCCTCCCGGCCTGGCCTCTCTTCTCCAGCCGCAGCAACACCAGACCACGGAGGGCTCCACCTCGGCCACTCTCCCCGCCCCCCCCCCCGCCCCAGCTATCTAGTCCCCTTCTCCCCACCTCATCATCAGGGTCCTCCTTTAAATTCTGGGGTCCATCTAAGTGGATACATTATCAGGGAAGTCTTCTCAAACCCTTTCTTGCTCTGGCATGAAGTGATTATTGCCATGTGTTTGCTTTTGAGGAGAAGGAATTAATGTGTATCAAGTCCAGGTATATCTTAATACTTTTAACCTTCCCGGTCACCTTCTCAGGTCATCTCACAGTTCCATTTTACAGATGAGGAGACTGAGAGCCCGTTCATTGCTTCATTAAACAAACATCTATTGAATATCAGTTGCCAGGCACTAGGAATAGAGCAGACACAGCCCCTTCCTTTGTGGATATTATAGGATCTGACATGGGATGAATCCAGGAGGCAGGAAAGAAAGAAATAATAGGCTATTCCAGTTGTGAAGAAGGGTCCTGTGAAAGGCAGGAAAGAGGGATATGCCCTATGTCAGAGCTTAGGGAGGGGATCCCTAAAGAAAAGGCATGTTTGCTAAGACCCAAAGACTCAAGGCAGTCACACAGATAGGTAGTGAGGGCAGAAGTGGGCTCTAACTGTGGCCAGAATTTGGAGCTACCATGCCTCATGGTCTCCCTTCCTCCAAATATTTGCATTTATGTCCTTGTCTTTTAGCGTGTGATCTACATTTCTTTCTCTCTGATGGAGTGTAGCTCCTTGCAAACAGCAACCTCATCTCCCAGGTACCTGGTACATAGGACAAGTCACAAGTAGAAGGAAGTGGTCAGTTCGTGTTTCACTGTATGTACCTGTATGTGATTGCCTGTGCTTAATAATATTATAAGGATGCAAAAGTGCCTAGAATATGCTGTGTATATTCTGACATTTCTTTAACCAATGCCTTGGTATGGTTTTCTAATAGAGTCTCCAAGCACCGGGACGCTCCTGTTCTCAAACTCATTTTACTCCGATGTTTTCTATTCTCTAGGCTGGGGTGATCCGGGGTGAGCATATGAGAGAGGGGGCAGCTACCATCAGCTCTGCAGGAGGTGGGACTTGAAAGCAGCTCATTCATTTACATCAAGTGCTGTTAAGCGTGTCCTCCCAGATGCTGCATGGCACATGGCTCCTTCTGGTCTGCTCTCCAGGCCATTTTTGGAGCTGAAAGTGGAGTGGCCGTCCTGTGCCAGGCACTGTTTTGGGGCAGGGGAGACAGACGAGTGCACATATGGTGAGCCCATGAGTGTTTCTTTTCTTGACATGCGGTAGCCCTCCATCCAGTAGGACCTGCAGACATGCCCTCGGTCCATGCGCGCATGCACACACACACATGCAGATGTACAAACCGGTTCACTGTAAGCAGGACTAGAGGCCAGCACCAGTGGAAGAAGTGGCAGACTCCACAGTGGTGGGGGCAGGAGCAACAGGAGGCCTTCCAGGCACCTTGCAAGTCATCTTGCCTGAGCTGGGAAAAGGAATGGCAATTAGCTAAGTTCAGGAGGGCAGGGAGGAGCAGGCCACAGGCAAGGGTCTCACCTCTGCAGCGGTCCAGAGAAAGAGAAAAGATGGTACATTTGGGATCTGCAAATGCCCACAGGAGCCAGGCAGGTGATGGAGTTGGGGGAAAGGCCAGGTGGGAGCATGTCAGACACATTGGTATATTCTTCATGCCCATTCAGAAAAGTCCTCCCTCCCACTTCCCTTGCCTTAAACCCACTTAGGCTGTCCTTCATTTTTCCATCTTTGAAACGTAGGTAAAGAGAAACTATTCTATAAGAAAAATAGCAGTCTAAATCCAATGATTATATCAATCAGTAAGTGATAGTTGGCTCCTGTTGGGGAGACAACTGGGAGTAATGGGGGCTGGGACCAACTGAAGAGCACATTCTCCATCTGAAGAGGACAGCTGTTCTTCAACTCCGGCTGTCCAGTGGCTCCAACTCTTGCGATTTTTCCAAAAAAATAAACAACCTGGAGTTTCGGCAAGTTAGCCAAGTTTTTTTGGGTGGTTGTTGTTGTTGTTTTTAACATTGCTTGATCAAAACAAAAAAACAGACCTGCAGACCAAATGGAGCACATTTGCATGCTGAGCCTTATCCATGGACCGTGCTTGCAGTTCCTTGGTCAAAGGCTCCAGAGGTTCTGAGGGTATTTTTAGAATCCTTCAACAAGTCATTGCTTCTAGTTACTCCTAACCATCCTTCTCTCCCTGCTTTCCAGAAAGAGATGACGAGCAGGATGTGTCACTGACGCCCCACCTTATCTTTGGAAGACAGAGGAAAGCTCTTTGCTTCTGGAGTGCTGAGCAGGGAGACCTCCCTGGCTGAAATGGCACGCCTACTTCCAGGAGCAGGAGAGGTGGAGACAACGGTGATTCCTGAGAGACGTTCCCCACTCACCCCGTGTGCTCTTAACCCTCTGAGTGCTGCTAGCCACGACCTGTGGACCTGTCTGACCACAGCATGCAAGAAGGACTGCCCCCTGGCCCCTTCTGGCTCTGAGTCGCCCCGAGGAAGCCTCTGCACTTCCATGCATGTCGCAGCTCTGCCTGTGACCTGCCACCTAAGCTTTACTGGAATTCAGGTTTTGAGATTGAGACACTTGTACTTTTCCACTTCTGTCTTGTCAACTGGCCGACTTTTCTGTCACGTGTTTTCTAAGTACCGGGTGAATTTTGGAACTCTGGATGAGCAGCGAGTTTTTCTATAACAAGCCTTCCTTTCAGACCTCCCGCCCTGATCTGATTCTGTGGTTTAACTTCATGCAGGGCCGTGTAGCCACAAGAGATCTGAGACCCACCCCGCAGCCTCAACATGTTTTCCCTGAGAGGCAGATTTCTTTCAGGGACCACTCCATGACCCCGAACAAACCTTAACTACAGGGAGGAGACCTGTCGCGAGCAGAAAGCTGACAAGTTACCAGTTAACTCCAAACAGAATGTGCTTTTTTTTTTTTTACAACCACACCATTTCTTGTCTCTTCTTTTCAAGATATTTTCTTCCTGTTTCCCAGAAGAGAGGAAGAAAAGGAAATTGTAAATGACCAAGAATGATCAGCTGAAGCCCTGAGCCAGATAGATTAGTGCAGCGTTTGTTCTTGACCAAAGGGGAGGGAGTTGTGGCTGTCTCCACATAATACTAAAATTTCAGTGAAAAAAAAAAAAAACAGAAGTGCAATTGGTTATTGGTGCACATAACTCAGCCAGCTGGCTCATTGGCTCGTAGCCTTCCCAGCTGGCCCTCTGAGCTCCTTCGTCCAGCCCCTGTTTTGTTTCTCTTCCTTTACACGCCACCCCCCCCCCCGGTCGGATTGTGTTGTGGCACAAATTAATTTCTGTCCCTATGATTGTGCCACCGTTGCCAAGGTAACAGTGGAACTGGAGCTAACTTCCTTCTTCCATTCCTTCCCGGTTTTCCCATTCCAGTCAACAAAATAGCACAGTCTGTGCTACATCCTGCCTTTTGAAACCCAAGTGAGTCTTAGTTGCAGAAACGTTGCCTTCTCTGCTTCATCCACAGACCTGGTGGTGGTCCCGAGAGCCTGTAACGAAGGGGTGATGATACTCCCAGTGATCCTTTGAATTTGACAAAGTAGCAGTTGGTGGAGGGAAGTAGATAAGAATGTATTAGTGTATTTTAATGTAACACCAATTAAAGAATAACTAAACAACCCTGATCTCGTTTCATTATATTTAATGCGTTAAAGCCATTCGTGGCTGCTACAAGAGCCTAGAGAACATGAAATCTTTCTTTGTCCAAAGAAAGGGCTGACTGTCTGGGCGCTGTGGCATCCTGCCCTGACCCGGCAAAGCCACCTTTGCTTCCCATCTTGTCCAAGTCGTCTCATGGAATCCAAATGCTGCTACCTCTTTCCATCGTGTTGTGCTCTGGTCACCAACAAACATACCCTCTCCCCTTTTTTGGCTTCCTAAGTAACTCTGAGAGAACAAGATAGGCAAAGATTCTTCTCAGCATCATTTTGGGATGAAAGAATATCTGACTGTCCTAAGGATCCAGAGAACAAAGAAATAAGACCCCCTCTTCCCAACCTATGCAATACGCAGTAAGTACTGCGTGGGGATGTCAAGCAGAGGGACAGAGAGATGAGATCGTGGAGCCCATGCCCTGGGAGGAACTCTGAAACTCTGCTGCCATGGAAAAACCACAGGATTTTTGCATTAAAAAGTTGACCATGTTCCTGCATGTCAGTGATGCCTAATCAAGCAGGATGCTGGACTCTGAAGACATTTGTTATTAATTCTTTTTAAGGTTCTTTTCTGTTGACTGTTTGTGCATATTAAATTCCCATTCAATTTAAAAGACCAAACATTTTTTAAGCTTCTTGGCACAGTTTCCTCCTGGTTATATTTCTAATTGCATTCATCAACTCTTCTAGGATCAGTGCCGGCAAACTACTCTTATTTTTTAATTAGAGTATTCCTATTCCTGCAGAACTTTGTTTGGCAAATTCTAAAGAAAATTATCACAGGTAATTTTTATCTCTTTGACCTGACGACATCCTAAGTACCTCTCATTGCAAAGAGGGGCGATCTGAGCCCTTGGCAGTGGCTCAGGCACCTCCAACTCTCTGCATCTGAGCCTCACCTCCTGCTTCCTCCTCCTTTATTTCCCACTATTTTTTTTTTTTTTTAGTTGGGTAATACATGTATCCACTGTCTTTTTTATTTCAAGACGTTTCAAAGTGGAAATTTCAAAAAGAAAAGATTACAATGAACATCCACGTCCCCTTCACTTACATGCATCAGTTGTTAACATTTTTTTAATTGTTGACTTTTCCCATAATTTTCTCTTTCTCTGTAAATATACATTCTTATTGCTGAACCATTTCAAAATACATTGCAGACATCATAAAACCTTAAAATACTTTCTCAATTGCCCCCAAAATGTTTATAGCTTTTTGTTGTGGTTGTTTATCCAGGATCCAATTAGGAATCACACATGGCATTTGCTGTCATTCTCTTTAGTTAATGGGTTAGAGTTCTCCTGTTAGGTATGTGTTTGGTGTGGTGGTGGTGGTGATGGGGTGTGTGTGTGTGTGTGTGTGTGTGTGTGTGTGTGTGTGTGTGATGACACTGATGTTATTAAGGATTTCAGGCTGGTTTTCTGTAGAATGTTCCACAATATGGATTTTTTTTTTTCTGGTTGTTTCCTCTTTATTAGACTCAGTTAAACATATTTTTTTAAGGAAAAATACTACGTAAGTGATGTTTCCTTCCTATTGCATTTATCAGGAAGCATATAATGTCTAGTCGTCTCTTTTCATGATATGAAGCTTGACCAGTGGGTTCAGGTGTTGTCGGCCTGATCCATTCATTATAAAGGTAAATAATTCATTAGGAAGCTCTGAAATTCAGCATGCACACATATTATAGTTTGAGGCTAGGCAAATGTGCGTTCTTTTCTTAATACTCTCAAAGAGGTGTAGGGTCTCCAAAAGATTATTACCATTGCAGTTAAATGATATAGCAATGATAAAAGATTCATAACTTCCCATTTAACAGAGGGAAGGGGAAGGAGGAAGGGGGCACTACATTAGTATGCTGGCTAATGAGAATTTGTATGGTTCCTGTAGCCAGAGTTGAAATACGTATAATTTTTTTTTTTTTTTGCTCCCATCCTCAATGACTTCCTGTTCAGACCCATGGTTTATTTTAGAGAGCATGTATTCTCATTGAAGGTGATTGTTCAAGGGTGCAAAAATTGTGGGTTTTTTTGTGTGTGGGGGGGGAGGAATCTTAGATATTACAGTGGGTTGTGGCCCTTCAAAGGGCCATAGTAGGTATAAAATTTCTATGTGGTATTAAAATTTCAGGAGGATGATTAAGAATAAAATATCTTAAAGGGCTCCTTAGGAGGATGATAATGGAAAAAGGGAAAAAAAAGGTTGAGAAATACTCATCTAGAGTCAGATTCTGCTTCTTAGGTGTTAATTCTCTCTTCCTGGGGTGTTTTTTCATTTCTGAGGACTAGGATGAGTGGAAGCAACTTCAAGAGATTTCTTAATCCATTCCTTCTACCCTCCCAAACCATATCAGTAACATTCCCCGTGAAAACCCCATTCTCCTCTCGAAGACCTCAGGCGTAGACATTCCACAGCATCCTTTGGTATACCCCACTGAACACTTCACAACATCTGAAATCCTCCCATTTAACCTGAGCCAAATCTTTGGGTTTCAGCATACCTTTACTAGTGTCTCACATTAAGAGAGATCCAGGGATTATCTAGGATAAGAAGCAGCATAATAAATGAGAGCCTTATTTGCATATCCGTTAAGTATTTGAAGACTGTTAGCAAATGGCCTTCAGCCTCCTTTCCCTTCCGCTCTCCCAGGGGCAGAATTCTCTTGGAAGACTTGTTGCCCTGTTGTTAACATTTCTGCACCTCCATTTGAACCCTTCCCCAGGCTTTCCATGTCACTGTGCATTACGGATATAACCAACAATGAATGTGTAAGAAATTACCGCATGCTTTCTCCAAACTTTATTGTGGCTTTGCTAAGTCCTGACTTGCTTTATAAATTTTCTTTTCTATTTGTCCACACTAAATCCATATCTATATTATATTCAACCATTTTGGTTTATCTTCCTGAGTTGCCTTCATTTCTACCTTTAATAGGCCTCATCAGATCATGCTGTTTTGTTTTAATCCCTTCTTTAATTGGCATAGCTTTAAGAGACTTGGAGGGAGCGCCTCTCATCTTTTTGTGGTGATGTAGGCCAAGTCGTCACCTGGTCATTGATAGAAGCACATCATTCCCTCTGGTCTCTGACCTTCTATCACTTCCACACCCCATGGGTATCACACTGTGAGTCAAAGAAATATCATGGGACAAGTAGAGCCATGTCTTCAAGAAATGTGTACAGAGGCAAAATCACAAGAAGGAGTCAGATGTGTCATTTGGATAATACTGTTGTCATTTGTGTTTGGATCATTTTGGTCCTTGATAAAATAGGTGATTCTCTCCTAGAATTAGCCAAACAAAGTGTTTTGGAAATAGAAGGATTTTTTTTCCCCTGCTTTAAAAAGTATGTTAACAGCCAAAAACTTTTAACAGGTTGTTTCCCTCTGGGAAGTTATTAATTCTGGGTAGGAATTTTTTTGATGAATAAATAAGGATTTTTGTAACTTTTAGAGGGGAGAGTCTATTTCTAATCTGACATTTAAGCTGTGTTACTAGTTTTTAGTGTTCTAATTTTAAGATTTTCCTGTATCTTTTCTAATTGCATCAGAAAAAAGATGTTTACTATATTTTAGTTCCATTTGTGATTAAAGATTTGACTATAAGAACAAACTAATACAATTACATCAATTAGAAAAGCAAGAGGAAATGAAAGGATATTTATGAAATCAGTTCATGTGAGCTTAGGAATTCAAATGTCACAAATAAAAGACACATAACCATCACCTGTCTTTTTTGTGTGTGCTCAATTTCTTTCACAGGTATGTTTTTCGTCTTGCAGTGGTCTTGGAGCAGGTAAATGAAAAGAAAACAGTTAATTCTACAAAAAGTAATTCAAAATGTGTTTGAGAACACACATGCACATATTTGTATTCTAACAGAAGTTCCTTTACACTTTTCAGATTTTCCCAGGAGGGTACGTCATGCATATAGTTTAGCTGCTCCACAGATGAATGTGGTGTGTATTTTTTCTTGCAGTAGGATTCAATACTAAATTTGATGACAACCTTGCGTGTAAATATAATAAATCTTGACTAGAGAAATAGTTCATCAATCAGAGTAAATAAACCTGAGTTTTAACCTCAGGTTTGCCACTGCCTTCCTTGCGAGATCCTGAGTAGTGTATTTAATTGTTCTCTGCCTCAGATTTCTGAACTTCAACTGCTTATAGATTTATTCCTATATGACTTATAATTATTTTTGCAAAATAATATAAGATAAAAGTATTAACATGTCTGGGAAACAAATATATACATTTTATATATTTATATGTTATTAGTACATTTCTAGCCACTTTAGAGTAATTGTGATTCCAATAACAGCCACTGTTGCTAATAGCAACAATCGAATACTCTGTCTGACAAAAGCTATTTGTGATGAGGTGATTTCTAGACAGAGGGTGGTGAGGAATGAGGCTTCTGGAACCCCAGCACAAATGTAAAGGGTTCCTCTACTTCTCGGTTCCACCGTCTGAAATGTACACGGAGATGTGACAGAGAGGCAGACTATGGACTGAATGTGGCCTGCAGGCACGTTTTGTTAGACTGACACAGTTTGTTTTTCTTCTTTTTCACTAGCTGCCAACATCTAAAAAATTGAGAAATCTGATGCCTAAAAATCAGAATTTCTGGCTCCTCTTACAAAATCAGATCTGGCAACACCGGGCTTTTGTTTTCGTGTGGCAGGAATTGGCTGAGAAGTGGTGGACCCATTTAGATGGAGCATGTTCTCTCCAATTTACCAATGTCCTCACCACTCTCTACTGCGTCCCAGACACGCGGCTGTCAGTTGCCATTGTCCTCTGAGGCTGGTAGGTTTCCCTCGCTCCCTCCCGTTTCCTGCCACTCCCCTGAAGGCATTTCAGGTGGCAGCCCCTGCTACACGGTGTCTAGAGAGGCCTTTAATTTTTAAGTTGATCCCTATACATATTGACTACCTGCTATATTATGTTGTTCTTTCCAGTAGCCTACACTGTATTCCTGATAATAAATAGTAAACTGTTTTAGAAGATAATAAATTCAGATCCAATGCCTTCAGTCCCTCCACCCAGATACTCCCATGGACATTAAGCTGATCACTACATCTATCCAACTTTCAATTATTTTAAATTCTTAAACTTCAGCTCTGCTTCCAGGCAAACTTCAATGCTACATTGACCAAAATGATAAAAAGTCACTGAAAAGCAGTGGTAGTGTCATTTATAACAATTATATCTTTTATCCTATTTTTCTACTTTGTGAAGTAGATTTCAGCAGAACACAGTGTGTTAATGGAAACTTCTCATTGTTTTAACGCAGCATTCCTCATCTGAGTTTTCATGAACACAAAAACCAAGCACAAATTCCCAGTACTTAATAGATTAAAAACTAAATGAGGAAATCTGATCTAAATAAACCTTGATTGAGTTTATAACTGTATTACTGCGCACTGGATGAAGCTTAATATCTGCTCCAGAGGAAATTCTATCATACAACTGAGACATGATCTCACAATAGTATCAGATCAGCAAAGAGAGTCTAAGCATTTTCAAGAACTATGTAGAACACAGAGGGGGAAAGGTATCAACAGAATCCTCTGTTTACTAACTCAGAAACAATGTTACAAGTAACTGTGCTCTGACTGTGCATATATAGGTCTCTGCGATGATGTATTTGATACTGCTAAAAACTGCATGTGGACGGAACCACAAGAGGCAGCAGCGTTCAGAAAATTCGTGAACTGTGACTTGTTGATTTATCTAAAGGTTAATTATTTTACTTAGGGTTTGTCTTATCAGAAGTCTAATCACATGAAGGTACAACAGAGATACTTGACCCACGTGAGTCTGTGGTTAAGACAAAATCTTGGTAAAGATGTGGAGGCCTTTTAGACCAGATCAAGCCTAGTGGGAAAAGTTCACATTGGCTGGAAGTGAAGAACTGGGCTGCCTACCCCTGCCCTGTCGGTGGATGAGAACCTAGCCCCTTCTCTGCTCAAAACCCTACAATGCCCCCCTTTGCACTCTGCTTAAAAACTTCAGCTGCCCCTTTCTCCCTCCACTCCTACACCCCGGGCCTCCCGGCTGGACTTGCACATGCTGAGCACACTCACACTCATGGCCTCTGTCCAGGTGTTCCCCTGCCTGGATGCTCTTCCCCCACATAGGCTCATGGCCAATTCCTTCTCCCCCTTCAAGTTCTAGCTGGCGCATCACCTTTTCATTGAGGCCCCTGCCGATCACAGCTGCCCCCCAGGCTCCCCAGGATTCCTGAGCTCCCTTTCTCTGCTCAAATTTTCCTTCTCCTGTAGTGTTTATATAAATCATATATATACACAATATGTAAATATATATATATACATTATATAATTTATATTATATGATATTTATTAGGTTTATTACTGTTTCTTGTCTGTCCCCCACCCCACTAGAATATAAATTTCACATCAGGGATCTCTATCTCTATCACCTAAAAGAGAGTGTCTGGCACACAGTAGATGCTTAATAAACCTTTGATAAATGAATTAATGAATAAATGAATAGAATTAATGGCAGATAGGTGTCTAATTAAGGTCTGCTATCAAAGAGAAATAAATTAAAAGCAATATATAATAATATTAATTTGATGATACACCAGGAAGTGTACATTTATTAAGTGTATACTATAGACTTAAGTATACTCTAAGCATTTTACATGGATAATCTTACTCAATGCTCTGTGAGGTTGGCTATCCATGTTTATCTCTACAATCAAGGTTACCCAAGTAATTTGCCCAAAGTTGCAAGTAAGGGGATGGAGCTAGGATTTAACACCCCTCAGGTGTGCTCCAGAGCCCTCACTCTTAGCCACAGGAGACACCTTCACCCTCTAGGCATTGAGCTCTTCTTCAGATTATCTTCTTCTCTATGGACACAGGCTCTGTGTGGTGGAGCAATTCAGCTTTCAGTTTCTTTTTGGTCATTTGTCAGTGTGATTGCATTAGTGCTTCTATGACCAGTCCAACTGAGATTATCAAGTATTTCTATTCACAAGATGCTCAGCATTCACAAACACAAAGTGGACCCTGAGTCTGACATGAGGCGGGGCAATGGATCTAACAGGGAGACATCAAGAAGGTCAGAATGGCTAGTCCACAAAGTGTTGAGTGGTGTGAGAGTAAGACCAGAGGCCAGGATGGGGTCTGTGAGTGGGCAGGAGACAGGAAGACCATCTATGAGTCCAGGAGGAATCACAGTGGGAGCAAGGTGTTCAATGATCAATTAAAACGGTACCTAAGAAATGTCTAGGTCTTGCTCCCTGCTATGAGATGGAAAAAAAAGCATACATTTCACTCATCCTTAGGGGAAAACTAGCAGACTTTTAAGAATTAATAAACACCCAAAGCAGATCTTAGCCTTGACCATAAGAAGTTTGCAGAACTGAAAAAAAACTTTTTTAATTCAAAAATTCTAAAATTAAATTTAAAAAATTAATTTAAAAAATAAAGAAGTTCACAGAACTATCAGTTAATTTTTGCTGATTTTCTTTCTCTACTAAAGAAATTAAATGGCATTAATTCTTCAGCTGTAATGTAAAATATACGATTATGTGAACAATTAAGAAATATGTAACCAAGAGGCTAGAGAGCACTACATGGCTGTGACATTTCTTAATGCACATATTCCATGGACTAATTGAGAAATGAATAGGAATCACATTACATTTGAAAAGCAGCATCCATTCCATTCCACCTGACTCCTTTGAGGTCACCAGGAGTTATGCAGACCGTAAATGTTCTCTAGTTCCTTGTTCCACTGGGAGATCTTTACTATGTCAGGAAGTAATCCCAGCCTGTGTTTTAAGGCTGAATGAAATAGATATGCTGTGAGGAAATGAATGACTTGTACCTTCCCATTCCTAGGGCTTCACGGACATTGTCCACAAAATGATTCAACTACAGAATATAGAAGGAGGCAGCATTTGTCAAGAGAGGGGCAGTGGGGGAGGTGTTTTTTGGTTTTTGTTTTTAAATAGTAAATTATTAGATTCACCAACTACTGAACCATGGAAGTTAAAGAAAAGTCATTCAAAAGGTGAGCCCCATTTCACACTTCTGACCTTGGCACGAGATTCCTGAGGTTGTGCAGATAACATCAGGTACAGTTTTGTTATTACAAACTGGCAGAGCATTCTCTGGACAGTGAATTTGCCACAACTCTGTGAGCCTATGGGTTTGAAATAAAAGAAATAAAAAACTACAAGTCCACAAAGTCCCTAAGAGCGATAAGCCAGTCTTTGCCATGTGGTCTGTTTGCATTCAAAAAAGGATTGTGCTGCCCTGGGCTTATGACATTTCATTGGAATTTGCATTATCCCTCCTAAGGGACTGCAAAGAGACTCTGTGCTACTTGGATAGAGAAATGTGAGAGGAAAATACTAAAGCACCTCCCCTACTGCAAAGAAGAAGGGAAAAGAAATGAGGTGGTTTTTGCCTGAACCTCTTCTGCTGCTCATCGATTCCGAGGTGCTGTGTTGGAAAGAACTGGCTGTGCTGAGAGCTTTCAGGGGAATTAGGAAGGCATGTTGGGGGGAGAAGGGCTGGGAATTAATCTACTTTGTGTCACGCACAGTTCTTGGTACTTGATGTATATTCTCCACCCAGTTCTCACAACCGTTCTTCAAGGGAGTTACTGGTGACAACCATTCCAGAGGTGAGAGGGAGGGCGGCTGCGTGCAGGGCAGTGGTGATGAGCTCACACAGGGACAGTCCTCACTGTCATCTGGTGCTAGAAATCATGCCAAGCGTTTGAGTTGGAATATCTGAATTATTCCTCTCCACCATCCTGTGAAGTGGACACCATTGTTGTTACTCCCATTTTACAGACGAGGAAACTGAGGTCGCAGAGTAAGTCTCCTCTTCAAGGTCATGCAGCTGGCTAGAGGTGGCGCTGGGATTTGAACCCGGGCAGTCGGTCTCCAGAGCCCCCTCTGCTAATCACTATGTTATAGGCCCCTCCATTCCTCCTTTTAGGTTGCTCACTTGCTATCCTGGTGACAAAGCTGCTTTCACCTTGAGGATCACACAATATGCAGACCTGGAAAAGCCCAGAGGACCCTTGGGAAGCTGTGATGAGGAAGTGACACCAGGTGAGATGAATGTTTCTTTCCCGGCGTAGAAAGTGTGAGTCCGGGGGCGCCTGGGGGGCACGATCGGTTAAGTGCCTGCCTTTGGCTCAGGTCATGATTCTAGGGTCCCGGAATCGAGCCCCACATCCATCTGGGGAAGAAGGACTAAGTGGGGAAGCTCAGTGCCCGCCAGCTCGACAAGACCAGTCAGGGGTACAGGAGAGCTCTTGCCCCTTTGATGCAGAGCGCACACCTGCCGATTGTCCCACAAGACGGTTTGTTCCTGACGAGACTTAGTCTTCCAGGAAAGACAAGTATATACCAAGGACAGGGAAGTAAAGATTGTCTCCTCAAATCTGGCAATAGGAATACACTAGAAGACAAGGGGGGAGGGGCAGAGTTCCAGCTGATTCAGTAGACATTTGCATCCCTACTGTGGCTGAACACTCTTAGTAGGTCCTCATTTAGCATCGCAACCTCCTCACAGATGCTATCATCAGATGGATTTCACAGGGGCAGGAGTACGAAAGCCTCAGCTCTCGCTTTGGCTACATGCATCTGTCTGTTTTTTTCTCAACCCTTGGTTTAGAAGCCCTTTGGGAAGAATGATTTTCCCTTCTGTACAAATCTTCACCATTCATTCTTACTCCAGTCGTGTCAGGTAGTTACTAAGGTGTGGTGTGCATTAGGGCCAGATAGGAGACACTGAGGATTCAAAGAAGACACCTGATAATTACTAGAGTTCAGATACAGTTGATATGTGAATACAGAATGGAGAAAGCAGCTATTACCAATGGATGACTCGCCAAAATAGACTCATCTGGCCAGCAGCAGAAGAAAAATTTTTTAGGGAAAAAAAACTGTACCCTTTTCTCTACCATTCTTAGAAAGATTGTCCTGAAGGGCAGACTCTTTATTTTAATGAAATTATGGGAAAAAACAAAATAGCAAATAAGCTTCAGCAGTTTAGGGAAAAGATGTGCTCAAACTCTTCTTAGAAAGTGAGCCTCTAAACTAAAGAGGTCCCTCTTCCTGCATGTCCATTCTCTTTGACCTTTGCATTTCTTCAGGCTCTCCTTGCTCATGCCCATCACTCTACGGAAGTGAGGGGAGGGCTTTCCCTGTCTCTAGGATCTTCTCTCACCATTCACTTTTCACAAACTGAAGCCTGCGGAGTGCCCGTTCCAAATTGCAGACCTGATCATGTCCCCTTTCTTGTCCCCTCTAGAATCCTTCAGAGGCAGCCCACTCCCACCAGAACAGACTTCTCTCTTTGGTGAGGCCCAAGGCAGGCTTCTCACAGGTTAGAAAGGATGGCCAACAATCCTCTCACTCCTAGATTTCTTTTTTTTATTTTGTGGACTAGAAAGTTTAAAATTCAACAATAGAGGGTGATTTAGGAATGCTACCATCTATCATCACCTTGTTTCATAGAAGAAAGGACATTTCAATGCCCAAAGAATAGAGAAAGTAGATCTAAGAATAAACATTACTCTGCTACATTCCCCCAGCGTGCATACATAACCTACGCCTTCAGCAGAGCACTGACTGAGGCAACTGGGTTGTAATGCCGCTGTTTGAAATAGTTCATTTGGTGGCAGTGATGTTGGTTTTCCCCAGGGAGTCCTGAAGGCCTAGAGTAGAGGCACCTGATATGCTTGAGCAGCCCAACCCTTCCATACCTGCTCACTCTCCACATGATCCTGCTTGCACCTGGAAGAGGACATCCCCTGGAGGGCAGGCAGACTCTCCAGGACTCCTGTGACCACCCCTACAGATGAGAAATAGCATCTGTGTGTGTGTGCATATGTATACGTATATTGCATGCACAGACACTTAGGCCCTCGATATATTCTCTGTGTTTGTCCACTGAGAGGGCCTGATGACAGTGACATGTCGGTTCAATGAACACATCTAGTGCCCAGATCTTGACATGTGAATACTAATTTCTACTTAAAGGAACCAGGAATTCTTGGAGAAATGCTTGGTGCCAGGGCTGGAGCAGAGAAAATCCAAGATGAGTATGGAACCATGAGCATCAAGAGCTGGGAAACTGTTCATATGCTTTAAGGCAGAAAGTCCCTTTTTAGGAAACTATCTAAATGAAACATTCATAAGTGCTGAAAAAAACTGAGTCATAAATATGCTCATTACTTCATTGTTTATAATAAGGAAAATTGGAAGCAACCCAAATAACAAACGATAGGGCAAATAACCAAAGCCAGTTATGAATATTCACTAAACTGGATGTCATAGAGATGTTAAGTTCATGACGATGCTTATATTATAATGTTAAGTCATAAATGCCACATCTCAATCTAGTATGAGTACGAGTCCTAACTGGGGTCTGTCTCTTCACGGCAGCCTTCTAGAAGAGAAGCCCTTCTGCTCTATCTCATGCATCCCAGCATCTATCAGGGCCTTGAGGTGGAGTTGGCATTCTTGCTCCTTCAAGATCTTGACTCCTGCTCTCAAATACCATCTGTCCTTCAAGGTTTATACCATTCAGCCCTACATTTACCGCCCCATCCACAATCATCATCTTTAGTCATCCTCCAAAGCTGCCCTAATTCACTGAAGACTTTGGCACCAGTTTCCCCCTGTTCCTCTCATTCTTCTCGTAGGGATCTTCCTTGGCCACACGGACAGTACATCCAACAACTTGGCTGCTCAGTTGACTTGACATCCCTATGCCAACACTCTTCCCCTCTAATCTAATTTAGCAATCTGAAACCATGTCCTTGGACCTCATTATCATACTGCCCTGTTCCAGCTTTGAAATGTTAAACACAGGGCACCTGGGTGGCTCCATCGGTTAAGCAGTTAAGCGTCTGACTCTTGATTTCAGCTCAGGTCATGATCGCGGGGTGGTGAGATTGAGCCCTGAGTCGGCCTCTGTGTGGAACGTGGAGCTTCTGTTCCTCTCCCCACCAGCCACAACTGCTCTCTCTCTCAAAAAAAAAAAAAAAAAAAGTGAAACTCCCAGACCCCACTGTAAATCTATTCTTCCACTTTTTTCTTAGCAACCTCAACGTTCTGGTTGCTCTGTTCTAATGCATTCACTCTGTTTTCCCAGATGATTGGATAGCCATTAATAAGCAACCTCCTTATGACTTAGGTTAAGCAGAAGTTTTAAAATAGCAACTTAGAAGGGGGGAGCTTAGTTGTTGGCATAGAAGGAGTCCCCTAGGCTCACCTTATCCCTGGAACACAGCTAGATAACTATCAAATCATTCTGAATACCCAAGAAATGGACCTGAGGACCGACAGAACAAACTCCACAATAGAGGGAGAGAAGAGGCCACGTCACAGAAAGTAGGAGGTGCAGAGATGTGGTTTGGGGGAGAAACAGATGGCGGGTGCCATGGAGGGGAGGAAGCCCTGGTTGCAGAGAAAGGTGAGAGAGAGTGAAGCACACAGGGGATCACACAAGGAAAATACTTCCCTAAAGCCAGTGGCTGGGAAAACAAGAGGGGCTGATTTTTCTGAGACTTTGCAATCAGCAGGGCTTGAAGACTGGAGTTAGAAAGGTCAGTGGGCTTGGCTGGGATAGAGCCCTGAGGGTGCTGCCCAATCCTGGAGTGAAGGCAGGCAAGCAACCCTGGGGCAGACGGCACGATCTGAGGATCGCCTAAGGTGCACGGGAGGAGACTGTTCACTCTTGTTGGAGCACATTTGTGAGAGATGGTGTTGACAGAGTCACGTCTCCTGGGACAAAAAGCCAACGGGCACCATTTTCCTCTGCCACCCCTCAGCATAGAGGCAGAGCCACCTGAGGTAAATAGCACAGCACTCACACCAGCTGCCTAAGCTCCTTACACCAAGTGTCACTCCCCTGTGCTCTGCTGGGACTATTTTTCTCCAGCAGGTGTGTCTCAGTCCCAGGGCAGCAGGCCCCTTCCCCAGAAGACCAGCAGAAACCCCTGTACACACCTCATTTACTGAACAGAGAGTTCTGCAAGGCTTCAGTTCTAGTGAAAGTAGCCTCAGGTCTCATTTAACAAGCAGACCAGAGCACACCTGGTTAAAACTCCCCACACTCTGACCAAGGTCCAAACACTAACCACAGCAGGCAAGGAGACCCTCGGCAGATGCCTGGCCTGAGGATAGAGCAGCCAATACACAGCAGCAGAGTGCACGTGGCACACACCGGAAACACTCCTGGAAGTGCCAGGCCTTGGACACTATATGACCTCTTCTTCATAAAGCCATTACTGTCAGGACCAGAAAGCATAGCAGGCTTTTCTAGAAGTCAGAGACTTCAAAAAAATGCCAAGATGGAGGAATTTATCCCAAATGAAAGAATTTATCCCAAATGAAAGAACAAGATAAGGTCATGGCCAGAGATCGAATCAAAACCCAATATAAGTAATATACCTGATGGAGAATTTAGAGCCACAATCATAAGGATACTCTCTGGGCTTAGGAAAAGAATGGAAGAATTCAGGGAGGCCCTTACCACAGAGATAAAAGAGTTAAAAAACAATCAGTCAGAAATGAAAAATGCAGGGGTGCCTGGGTGGGTCAGTCATTAAGCATCTGCCTTCAGCTCAGGTCATGATCCCAGGGTCCTGGGATCGAGCCCCGCATTGGGCTCCCTGCTCAG